GAGTGCTGTGGTGTCATAGCTCACAACAACCTCTTGAAGTCTTGGCCTTAAGCAATACTCTTGCCTCAGCCTTCTGAATAGCTGGGACTACAGGCCCCCATCCACAATGCCTGGCTATTATCTTTAGAGATGGGATCTCTCTCTTACTCAGCCTGGTCTTGAACTCCAGAGCTCAAACAAAACGTCTGCCTCAGCCTCCCAGAGTGCTGGGATTATAGGCATGATCCACCACGTCTGGCCCTCCAATTTGTTTAAAACACTTTGATATAAGCAGTGTCATATAAATGTGTATGATTCAACCTATTCTTCGGGCAATTAGTTAATATTTGAAGCTGCATAATAAGTCACATTCTCCCCAGGATGGCATACTAAAAGCACTTTGATTCTGGCCTTTTGATCTCTATTTTTCAACTTTTATTTTGCAGTTTTTGGCCAGGGCTGTGTTTGAACCCGCCATCTCCAGCATATGGGGCCAGTGTCCTACTCTTTTGAGCCACAGGTGCTGCCCTATTTTTCAACTTTTTAATTGTTAAGTGATGTTACAGGTAATTTGTCCTTAGGGAAATTTCTGGAAGGCAAAGTATATGGATTATTTCCTTTGCCTTAATAGAAGTCTGGAGGCCTTAGCTGATTGTGCCCTGAGTGTAAACTCAGTTTTGAGCTCAGATGTGGATCTGTATCTATTATAACCCAGTCCTGTTTCCCCTGCCCACTCCTGTTCCCCAGCCCTCTCTTATTTCAACCCCTCTCACCTGTTCCCCCCTGCCCTCTCCTGTCCCCCCCCCAGCCCATTTCCCTCCTCCTCCCTCCTCTCCCCAGAGTCGACTCCAGGAACAAGGCAAGTCCCTCCTCCCACCACAGTGGCTAAGAACGTGCTAGTCAGCCGTGTTCCCAGGCTCCTTCCCCCTAGGGTTGCCAAGAACAAACTTCAGAACAAGGAAGAAAAGTCTTAAGTTTCACAAAACCCTCAAGTTCTCAGTAGGTGAACAATGGTAGAAAACTCACCAAGACTTGATTAATTACTGTTGTATAACCATAACCATTGTGATATGAGATGTATCCATTGTCAACCACAGCTGTATTAATCACTGTTACTTTACCATTGCTGTATTCATAACTACTTGAGCTGTAACCCCCCTTAACCAGTCACATTTTGCTTCTGTAACATGCTTACACAAAACCTATAAAAGGCAACTTCACCCCCCTACTGGTGCTGCTGCCACCCAGTGCAGCAGGTAAAATAAATTACCAATTAATTACATCTAAGTCGGGGTCTGACTCTATCTTTCAGGTCTTAGAGGGTACAACATATCCCTGCACCTAAGAGGTGATTCTTCCCTGAATGGACCAGATACTTTGCTAAATTTGCTGGTGTGATGTTGCTGCATCTTCCTAAAAGGAATATTTCAAGGGACTTTTCAATGTTATGTAAGACAGAGAACTGGTACTTGACCTGTTTTATAAGAAGAAGATTCAGAACTTTTGGATATATACATTTGTATACATGCACGAACTTTCTGGATGATAAATGTTTCCATATGCGACAAAATTCAAGCTAAGATCTAAATATTATCAAAATAATCACCTGGGTTAAAAACCCAACCACAACTTGGACTTTACCTAACAAAATACAATGTAATCTAATCATATATATCCTCATATTAATCTGACATTTAAAAAAACAAAATAAAACCATACCACTTGGTAGTGAAGCTGCTAGGATGGAGAGATATAGTCATTTGAAACCACTGATTTCTACCAAAAAGAACCCAACAGCTCTTAAGGTAAAATTGGCTTAGTTCAGTTCACAGTAGTAATAAGTATTAAGTATCTGTTACAAAGGAACAAAATAGTATTTATTTTATAGCATGTTGTGAGGATTGTGATAATTCACATAAAGACTTCAGAATGGCCCATGGTAAGCTTCTACTGACATAATCTTTGTATAATTATATTAAATTATGACAGTTTGTGATATTATAAACTTAATTTTTCCCAGATGATACCATCAGTTTAATACTTCTACATTTAATCACCGTATAGTGATCAGCATCACATTAAATTATTATTACACACTTCAATTTATTCAAGTAGTTTTTCTTTTAACAATAGATAATTGATAAACATCTCCATGCACTGAATATTTTTCTATTTCATAGTTATAACCACACTGTAAATTCCATAGGAATAGTCTTCAGGAACTTGATTAACTGTGAATGCGTAGCACTAAATATATTATTAAGGCAATTTTCTCTGTGTTTACTTATTAACTGGTTACAAGAATTAAAAAAAAACAGTTCAATTTGGTATTTTGACTTGCAGCATTGGTATATCTGTTGAGATGAGTGACACATCGTGATGGGATGACATTCTTATATATATTTGATCAATGTCTGGGAAACAGAAGGGAAAAACTCCCTAGAGTATATTTAGAGCTTTCATGATGCCATGGTATTTACCTGGGGGTGTCTTATTGACTGCTCAGTACAGTTAAAAGGTAAAATAAAACAAAAGGCAAAAATGTAAAAATTGCCATTTGCAAGGGCAATTAACTCAAGAAACAAATTAGTTGTACTTCCATCAAAATTGAATTTTAAAAGACATATTATGTTTCTCATGAAATACGCAATGCAAATGACATAGATGACTTTAAAGCTTATCTGGTTATACTGTTTCCAGGGAAGTGCCCATCAGGAGACCAGCCACACATGGGTGAGTCATAAGTAAAGAAGCAGAAAAGAGATTTTGGCAGAAGAAATATAAAGGTAAATCTTGTGTTATGAACTCTTTTGAATTTCCTAGTTGTATTAGTAAGGGTTCTCCAGAGAATATATGTTATAGTATACATGCTTTATTCTAATACTGTACACTATTGAAATGGTCACATACAAGTCACATTTGACTTTTGCAATTATAGGAGATGCAAGAAAAATAGATAAGATAACAAATGCTATTGGTGTACATTATTATAATTAATACAGTTTTTTTCCTTTCTTAAAATGTGTATGCATTCTTTTTGGCACACTGTGGGTGTGTGTACAGAGAGAGACACAGAGAAAGAGATTGAGATTGAATGATTTAGAGAAATTGCCTATTGGCTCACATGATTATGGATACCAAGAAAAACCCTGAGATGCCTTCTGCAAGCTGGAGACTCAAGGGAAGGTGAGGAGTAATTCACTTCAAGTAAGAAAGACTGAGAATCACAGGAGCCTATGGCAAAAATCACAGACCAGTTCAGAATTCAGGCCCTCAAACTGAGTGGATGATGTCCACCCATGCTGGGAAGGGCAATCTACTTTACTGAGACAACTGATCAAGTGAGGATCTCATCCAGAAACAACCTTACAGTCACACTCGGAAATGACTATAAATCTAGGCACCAGGTGGCCAGTGAAGTCAACATATGAAATTCATCTTTACACCAATTGTTTGGTCGGCAAATGATTGCCAAAGTTATCAGACAATGGTACTGGAATTGATAAACAGTATTTATAACTCAGAATTTCCCCCTATCCATTTGACTACTGTATAGTTTTTTTTTTTTTTTTGAGACAGAGTCTCCGTATGTTGCCCTCTGTAGAGTGCTGTATTGTCATACCTCACAGCAACCTCCAACTCTTGGCCTTGAGCTATTCTCTTGTCTCAGCCTCCCAAATAGCTGGGGCTACAGACCCTTGCCACAACGCCCGGCTATTATGTTGTTGTAGTTGTCATTGTTGTTTGGTAGGCCCAGGTTGGGTTCGAACCCACCAGCTCCAGTGTATGTGGCTGGCGCCTTAGCTGCTGAGCTATAGGCGCTCAACCTGATTACTGTAAAGTTTTAACCTGGTTGTAATTAAACATGCCTCTTTCTTGCTTGCAGTGTAAGACAAACACTAAGTACTGAAGGAAAGTTATGAAGAAGTATGGGCTGTGTTTGTTGGTCTCCCACTCCTGGCTGATAACTCACCAGGGTCACAGTTAGAAATTAGATGCCACCACTGGTGCTAAAACTGACTCCCCAGCTTAGATATGTACAAGAAGGCATATTTTTGTCTTTTTTTTTTTTTTTTT